GCATATATACCAGGCTGCAAACAGCAAACAGCTCCAAAGTCCCTGAACAGCAACAGTCAGAATGTGAGACATTAATATATTTAACACAGGTTTCTACTGTAATTCAATTTATGATCTGAGGAGTGAATGTCAGTAGGAAACAGTTACCCAGAAAAGTATGGGAACAAATGAGGACTCACAGACACCTGTGGAAAATTGCATTTCCTCTTGTAAATCATTTTTCATTGCAAAGTAGAGATGTCAATACTGAGCTAAATACAAAGATGACATGCTACTCAAGGCAATTTGCCAGATTCCACTTTCATATTAAAAACCTTTCTCAGCCCAATATGTTCTTTTCATGCCAGGTGATGCTTGTGCTGATTTCTTTTAACACCTAAGCAGCAAACACCCCCAGTATTTTATTAGTTCCTTTCAGCACGCTTACCTGTTACAGAATAAGTGGCATTAGCTCTCGCAACTGGGATGTATTCTGAGCGCCCTCTCCTGTAAATGGACACTGCCATCACGTGTTCGCCAAGAGTCATGTTTGCCGTGTTCACTGAAAGCTTTGCTGAAGATCGTCCCGTTGTTTGATAATACTGATCTGAAACAGAACATGAACTTAGCGTTTTCCCCCTCGGCCTCCCTACAGGTTGTTTTATGAGAGGCAATATCTCTGAGAATCTTGGATTGTCTAAATCTGAACGAATGGTTTAGAATTGTCTTGCAGTAATCTGGCAGGTGTTTTTAGAGGGCTGATTGCTTTTACAATGTGTTTACTGCCATTCTTTCAAAGTTGTTAGAAAGATGTCCCAAATTCACTAATCCAGGAAAAATTTGTTGAGGCATCAACATCTTTCCCAACAATTACATTACATTAAGTCATTAGGATTATGTAGTGGATGGTGTTAGGCATTTTAAGTGATCTTGTGTATTCATGCTCGCAGTGTAGCCAGAAGATAAAATACCTCTTGCTTCATACCCTGGAGCCCTTTGTATACATTTGGTTATTTGTCTTTTTAACAGCTGATTGAGGTGATTTGGAACATTGTTAGTATTACTCTTGCTGATACTGATTTAGACAAGCGAACTTAGGGTACTAAGATTTAGTACATAGCCAATGACAGGAATAGCCCAACTGTTACATGCTCAGGACCTGGAAACACTGAAAATCAGCATCTGTGACCAGACCACTACGATACAGTCAGTGGCAGTTCTCACCTCCCCAGAGGCAAGACATGCTGCACCATTAAACTGAAGATATACAGCTCTGGTCTCTCTTAAATTTAAGACTCCAAAGTGCCAGTGAGCAGTAAAGGAATCAGCTGACTGAGCTGCTCATACCCTCTGTTTGCCTAGAAAATGATCTTGAGTACTACTGAAAGGAAATTAATTTTCTTCAGTGGTAGTACTGTGAAAGCACATTCAAAGAGAATCTTTGGGCAATCCATGATTTCCAGACCAAACAGCTCATGGCCTCTCTGGAAAGTGGGGAATGAATTTTGTATCTCCACTCAAGAGTGTGGAATCCTTTTTAAAGGACTTTTAATAAAACATACTCGACAAATGCGTTAGTGTACAGAATGAATGGAAGCTTTGCAGCATCACCCAAACTAAGGCATGTGTTGCGGTACTAACCAAACGTGTGAAACACGTAGACAAAGTTCCTTCTCCTCCAGCCAGGATGATGAGGGAAAGGTCTCCCATCTGGGAATACATTATGGCTGTGGTTGCTTGTGCAGTTTTCACAGTTATCAGTCCATTCAGTCCAGTTGTAGACATAGAATTGCTGATCCTGGAATGCTGGAGGATCTAAGGGTAGAAATGGGGCATTATCTGGTCAACTGAGACACATACAGAAAGTCAGGAAACAGCAGTCAGACACCCCAGGTTACAGCAGTTACTGCACTTAAACAACAGGTGAAGCAGAATATTTTTAGACTGACATTAATTTTCTCTGAGACCATGCTTTGTTTGTTTTTTAATGTAAACACACCAAATTGTTCTGATTTGGCACTGTTTTATTTAGAAGCTTAAACAAAGTTTACTGTCTCATGGGTCAATTTAAAATTGCTTGCCCAAAACTTGCTCTTGACTACACAGGATGCTACTGTTTCACTGGAGTCAGTGGGGCTACCGGAACATTTGGCAAGCAGAGTCTAAAATTTTAAGTAGAAATAGAGGCTGTAGATGCACTGCAAAGAAGTGACCTAGTTTGTTTTGTCAGAAAAGTTTTATATGGCACCTTTAAATAACTTAGACATTCATCGTAGGGTTGGACTCGATGATCTCTGAGGTCTCTTCCAACCCTGTTGAGTCTATGATTTTATGATTTCAGTTCCTTTCTGAATAATAAAGATTCCTCCCCCAAACAGCATAGTAGATATTAACTAGAGAATGGATATCAGCTGTTAACAGAACATTGGACAGTCAAAAACTAGAACTTAGGCGGACAAAAAGTGTGTTGTTATGCCTTGAAGTGAAAAGTATTTTGATCAGAAAAAAAATTTGTCGAACATCTAGTAATTCAGAGGATGAAAGGTACAACAGCATGTTTTACTCTAGATTCAGCAGCTTCAAACACTGGAATTGTGATAGTATTTTTGTTCTGTGTAACAGTAAGGTGAAAAAAGGTGATTCTCTGATGAAAATATTGTTTGATTTTTAAATTCTTTATTTTGTTTTTTTACTTCTTAAAATGTGGGAATGTGAGATTTGCTCTTTCTCGAGGGTTTTTCAAGATGCAAATATGGTTACTGAGTTATACAATTCCTAATTTCAAAAAAAAATCTCAATTTTATAAATTGGCAGCTTTATAAATCTGGAAGAAAATGGCGTGACTGTGCAGTGTTGTGGCTGAGCTGAAAAGCAGTAACAAATCTGTTAGGAAGACAAAAGAACACAATTGTTTTGGGAAGACAACTCATAGTTATGGTCAATCTTAGATTATCTGATCATTATATACAGCAAGGGAAGAACAGTAAAAATACCACAGGGATCTTCTTAGGAAAGAGACAGGTATGGCACAGGTTAGGCACAAGTTGATTATCGGTTAAAGCAATGTGGCTGTTGCTCGTAGTGTGCACCTGTGATGCTTTCAAAGCTTCATGACATGTTCACATCTGCACCAGTCAGATGTGTGTACAGTGCAGGAAGATTGCTGTTACCTACCCTGGATACAGTTTCTCTTGTATATTATGTTGCCATCATTATCTTCTTTCTGGCACTTGGGAAACTGGAGAGTCACAACAAAGGTCACGTTGGATCCTACCAGTGCTGGGCTATCAGTGTCCAATTTGGCTGTCACCCTTCCACCTGTAGAAAAGCAAATTGGTCTGCATGGCAGTAAGGGATGCATCAGAGCAGCATCTGCCTTCAACTGTGCACTATTTACATTAGAAATGCTTTATTGGTTGCTCTAAGTGATTTCATGCTCCTAACCCACTTGTACTCTTATCAAAACCCCAACTTAAAACAATCAGAGGGATCATATCCCCCCCACGTCTCTTACTGGACTGCTATTAATTTTGTTCACAGAGTTAACAATATAGTTTTCTACCCATGAAAGTCAACGTATTCTGAAGGAGAAAATTTTGGTTTCTCCTCAGGGATACAGTCATTATACCTCAGCTCAGATCAGGTGATAATAAGCAGGCTCTTTGCCAAAGCTGTCAAACTGAAGCCCATGTGCCCTATTGAGGTAGCAGTTGAAGCTACCTGTCCTCTAGGGTGTGTTTCAAATTATGGATTGTCCTAGAGCCCTGATCATCAATACTTCTATGTATTAAAGTCTAAGACTAGTAGGCATGGGAAAGCATTTTCTGCAACAACTCACTGTTCTGCTTCCTTAGGCAACCTACTGGGAATGGTATCAAAGCCAATCATCTCTAATTTGCTGTTCCATTCAGCAGTGGATATTGCCCCTCTGAAAATGCTCTATAGCATCTGCACTCTGCAATAAGGTGGATTTTCTGGCCAATTTTCTCAGTGTCTTCGAAATGTAGATGTGAGATCACCTTTCCAGCAGTCCTTCCATCTAGGATCTCCTTCTTCCCAGACAGGATAAAGCTTTTCATTCCATTTATTTTGATCACTAGACCAGCCTTGTAGCTTCTTGTGGGATGTGACAGGAGAAGTACTTCCATGGCTCAGCACATCTTGAAACACTAGAGAGCAAAACAAACATGCAATGTAAAGCAATTTTCTTACCACCCTGTAAAGACATTGCTCTTGTGCTTCTGATTATATTCTTGTACTGACAGAAAACTTTTCACCCGTAGAAAGCTACAGAATTTTATAATTGCAGCTGTAAACACTTACATCAACTACAATCAGCATAAAGATAATTCCACCATTGTCAGACTGTCATTTTTTTTCTACTTGCACTCTTGCAAACTTTCCAGAAAAAGAATAAAAAGGTTTGCAACATTTTGACCATATCAGAGCAATTGTTTATATGAATGGACATAACCCTTCAGCAGTCAGGCTGGCTGCACAGAGGTTGCTTGATTGCTGACTGCTTGTTTGATAATAAATCTGGGAGTAAAAGGCTAACAGGATAAAATCACTCTGCATCTGAGTTGTGCTTTAGTGGAAATTATGCCAGGAATTAATTTTGACCCAGTGAACCTCCTTTGGTGAGCTGACTGGTGGTTTGGGTGGGAGGGGTGGAACCAATTATAACAGAAGCTGGTATTTCCAGAAAAGGAAATTTAGAGATGAATAGTAAATTCAATGTGTTTATAATATAACAACAATAACATATCAGCTTCATGGTATTACTTAAAAATGGCTCAGATATTAAATAACTTCAATAACCTCTTTCTTCTCATATTACTGCAAATGTTGGGTTCAGACTTTTCCCAGGCCTTCTAGGATCCCTCTTTCTGTCACAAAGGACACATGGTGAAAAGCAAAGTAAACATCCAAATAACTTGTAGGAACATGTCAGCCACTGTAGGATGCCATAAAACTCTATCAGTGAGTAGGCTCATGGGCAGAGTTCCATTAAAGCCTGGAGGCTTTAAACAACTGTTGCATTCATCAGGTAACTGCTGGGTGTGCCATTCTGTCACAACAGCAACGGAGTTAGGGTTTCTGCTTCCCATGGCTGATGGAAAGGTAGGTGATGCAGAATGCTTCTGAGATTTATACCCAGCTGCAACAAAGCTCTGCATGGCCTCAAGGAAAATGCAGAGACTTGTAAGAAGGGCAAGAATGGCCCTGTGTGCTTTAACCTAACTGGGTGTGTTGGAATTTCTCCAAGCTTTGGAAAAGGCATGGAACGGAACAGGTGTAGACAGATTATGCACAATCCTTAGGGGCATGTGACTCCTAATTTTTCTGCAAGGGAGAACCAGAGAAATAGTGCTGAAGAAGAGGCAGGAGCTACTTTCTCCTGGTGTTTTATTGTCCAGTGAGATTTATGCTGAGCAGGAAATACATTTTTGTCCAGTCACATCTCAACTCTGAGCTGATGATGGTAGCTCTCTCCCCAGTCTTGAGGACTGAAAGGTTTTTGCACTCAGAGGCATATTCTCCCATGGACTTTTGCCCTACAGGAACTCCCTGCAGTCTCTCTTAAATCACTTGAATCAAGTCTCTCCTGCAGATTTAATATATTTTGATGTGAGCAAAGAATAACATCATGACTGGTATTTACTTAATGACCTGTATCACATGCTATATTGTTTTCAGTCTTGATCAGAAGAAGAGTTTGGTAATGTTGTCCTTCAGAAATTTTTCTCAGGAAAAAACAGATTAGCAGCTATGAAAGTACTTCACAAAGGCTTATCAAGTTTAATTACATTTTAGGTCATTAAATTAATGTGTCATTTTATTTGAAGGTAAGTGGCTGCATATTTTTCCCCAATCTCTTTTCCTATTCTCTTTGACTTTACATAAAAATTATTTAATGAATAAAAATGTTTTGATTTTGTCAGATCAAAACTTTTCAATCATTGTTTTTTTTCCCCAAATGCTCAATTCATAAAAAAGAGCTGGAGTAGTTTTAATTTTATAAATGCTTTTAATTTTGAATTTTCAATAGCAATCCTTGAATTCAGAATTCATTTGCTACTCCAGCTTTGGTAATAACTGTGGTCACTGCTTCTAAATCACAAGTTCCTTAGGCATTTCTTTGCCTCCCTGATGTGCTTTGTTTATTTCAATCGAATAAAAAACATTTCACAAGCTTCAGGACAAGACAAAGATGGTTTTTCAGATGAGCAAAGACCTCAGAACTAGTTACTTTAACACACATGGAACTGAAGATTTTCAGTTGCTGAATTTAAAGGAACAAAAAGCTTTAATGTATTTCTTCTTTAACAATGAAAACCACTCAAGAACAGATGTTGGTCATAACCAAAATTAGAGCAATTCAGTTTGAAACAGAATAATGTTGCTCTCCAAGGAACAGATTACTGTAATAGTTTTGGTGAGGTGATCATAGGAGAAAAGACCTTATACTCTGATTGACTTTCTTCTTTCTCACTCTGGTTTTCATTTTGGTGAAAAAAAAATGTAGAAAAGACAAGAAGTTCAGTATTTCCTGTGACAGTGTGTTAGCCATGAAAAAGAGAATAAAAGCCAATGTTAGAACAGCAGCAGTAAAAAGACGATCCAGCTAAAGAGGATAAAAGTGTATTAGAAGTATAAAGGCTGATGTTACAGCCAAGGTAAGAAGACAGACAGTAATGTAAACTTTCTGAAGTTACATGTAGAAACATAATAAAGTAAGACACAAAAAAAAAGAATTTGAGGAACAACTTGAAAAACATTAAAACTACTAATTAATCTTTTTCTTGTTTTTTTTTTTCCCACAGTACAGAGGTAGTTGAAAAGCATGCCAGGAAGTTTGTAGGGCCAAAAGATGGTGTAGATACAAAAGAAGCATTCAGGAGAGATAAAGGGATAGCACAAAAGTCAAATATGCTGGTTTACCTTTTCATTCACAAAGGAGGAGCATAGGAGGTTTCTGTGCTAGAATTTTTCATTACAGTGACAGAGAATCTCTCTTGAAATGAAGTGCTGGCACAAAACCCCCCAATTATAGAACAAATCAACAAAATTACAAAGTTGTCTAGATAAGATGGCTCAAAAAGTATGGAAGTTATTCAAGAGTGAAATAAATGAGCTATTAACCGTAGCATGTAACGTCTTGCTTAAAACTGCTTTAGTGACTGAGAAACTAAAGTTGGCAAATGTGATGACAGTTTTAAAAAACACTTCCAGGAGAGACTTAGAGGATTACAAAACATTTGGGGCTCAAATTGGAGAAGCTGGTAGAAAGAGCAGTGACGAACAGAATTAGCAGATACAGGGCATTAATGTGATATGCTGTAAAAGGAGTGCATTCCTCACAAACATATTCTGAGATTTGCTGAGGTAGTCAGAGAGCATGGGAACAAGGCTGACCTGCTTGTTACAGGCTGCTTGAGTTCCAGGCAGCATTTGATGAGGTCCTTTGCTAAAGGCACATAAAGCAATTAAGTTACTGTGGAATAAGGTTGAAGGATTTCACATGAATAAATGATTGGTTAGGTTTTATGAAACAGAAGTTATGAGCACATGCTCGGTTTTCTCAATTGTTACAATAATTTAAAATGTTCATAATCTGGGCAACAGGTAAACAGTAAAGTTCTTTCATCTGCTGAAAGCAGCACATGAAAGTATCAGAGGGGAGGAGTGTATGAGACTCAAGAATAAAACTATGAAATTCAGCATAGTTAAATGTAACCTTACTTAGAGAACAAGGGGCTGTAAAATAGCTTTAAACTCAGAAATGAGATCTTGCAAATTTACAGTTTTGAATGTAGTGCTCATTGGTAGTTGAAAAACTGGGAAAAGGCTAGATAGAAAACAAAGATTAAAGCATTACAGCACTGCATAATTCCATGTGTTCATGTCTTGAGCACTCTATGCTGCTCTGTTCTCTGCTGATCAAACAGAGTATAAGAGAACTGAAAAAATACAGAGGAAGGTAGTGAGGATGCTACAAAGGGATAGAATTATTTCCATATGGGGAACAGCTAAACAGACTGTCTTGAAGCCTGGGGAAGAGGTGACAGAGGAGAAGATAAAAACAGAATCATGAACAGCACGGAGGAAGAAGCTGAAAGTACAAACGTTAAGGAGAATCAAATGAAACCAGCAGGTCACACTTTCTAAGCTCAAGTAGGAGATTTCTTCATGTAAGGCACAGTTAAGCTGTGAAATCTCTTGCTGGCAGGATGTAGTATGTCCCAAAAATTTACACGGGTTGCAATCAAAACCCAAGTCATGAAGGGATGGAATAATGTCTAGTAAAAACTGTTAAATGACTCTGCATCTGACAGGCAGTTCTGGTGCTATAAATCATCACAGGCTGGGAAGGTATCCTTAGTAAATATTGGTATACACTTGCCCAGTTATATACATCCAGTACTGTTTCCCATTGGAGTTAAGTACAAGGCTAGATGCATGCTCAGCTGGACCTCATGTTTTACAATCTTCAGTCTCCATACTGTAGATTCTGGAATTTGAGACTAAAATCCCATTTCTATGTTCCCTCCCATGAGCTTAGGGAATCATCCTAAGACTTGAGTCAAACTGGAACTTTGAGGAAAGAAGCAGAGGTTCAGCCCAGTCCCTGCCCAATGTGGCTTGCCAATCTAATTCCTTGACTGGGCTCCCTGAGGTAGGTACTCCACAGGTCTGGGTGGCCCAGTAGGGAGCACTGACCTGGCCCCTCCCAGCCACAGCCGAACTGAGCAAACTGAGCAAAAAAGTCCATTCTGCATCTTCCTTTTAAGCCATGCTTGAGCTTAGTAAAACTGCTGGAAATTTGTTGACAAGATTTAGCTCCTATCAGCTCTGTGTACCTGTTGAGCACAGGAAATATCAGTCCTCATAACATTTCTCCAGCTCAGGCACCATTTCTACCCAGAGCCAGGTAACCCTGAGGTGGAGCTAGCTGTCACCTACTTGTTCCCAAGCATGGCTCCAGCAACCACCAGATGTGCAAGGAGCAGCCGTTTTTCCTGCACTGGCCTGGGAGGCAGGGAAGAGAGGCGATGGGGTGAAGGAAGCACTCACGTGTGGTGGCAGCACACAGCGCTGCTTCGGCCAGGAGCAGGAATACGAGGTGATGGCGAGCACTGCTCATGGTGCTGGAGACCCTGTGTCGGCTCAGTGCATGCAGAGGGGCAGCGTGGCCAGTGCCTGGGCACGGCAGCTCCTCCGGTCCCCACTGGGAAGTGAGAATGAAGTTTCTTCGCTGCTCTGCTCTCCGATTAAATGAAGGGCCCCGGGACTCATCATGTGATGGAATTAAGCAGAGATGCATGATTTTGTCTTCAGCTTCTTTTAGCTCATGTGCTTATGACTCATTCTCTTTGCTTACAGCATTCCCTGGGATCTTTGAGAGACCTGTTTAGAGCCACACCATTTACCTCACAGGCATTTTTATACAAGTTTTGCACTAAGATCAATTTTTATACTTAATTTGTTTTTAAATTAAGAACATTTCTTTCCAGAGATCCAAATTAACACTTGCCCCAGCCTGAGTTGCAAGCGTTACTTCAACAGCTCACTGCATTTGATCAACCCATTGCTACTTAAAGATGTGGCTCTCCCCACATGCTGGGCAACAACTGTAAACTAAATGGAGACCAGCCAATTCGAACACATCCCTGGACTCGACTCGTGGTCAGAGCTGATTGTTAAGAAAAACGTTATTTAAACATTTAGTGGGTACATGCATGTCCTGGTTGCACAGCATGATACACCCAGAGATGCGATCATAGCCCCATGTGGTGATGGCCAGTCAATGTCAAGCTCACGAATTGCCATGACCTGCACACAGACAAGTAGTTGCTTGTATAGGCTTCATGAAGTGTAGAGATAAAGGAAAAATAGCCTTTGCTACCCAGCATAACAATGAGGTATAAACAATGGCTCGAGAGGAGCAGTGTAAGACAGGTAGATTGGCAAATACTGCACTTGTCATTTCAAATTCAGGCTCAATGTGCTTCACCAGCCCAGGTGTTCTTCTGCAGGCCACATTTCATTGCAGCCATAGCAGTCTTCTGAAGTTTCTTGCTGTTGCTTACAGCAAAGAACAAGCTTTGGTGAGATGACGTGGCATAAAAGCAAATATAGCCCTCAAGGGTGACTTCACTAGCCGTTTCAGTGATCCCAAAGTATAGCACTTGCAAGGGAGACACTGGCTAGCCAGAAACCAGCAGGTTAGACAACACTAAACCATTTCTTATTTTGGGCAGGGCAGGTGGAAGTTCATAAGTCTAAGGCACTGTTAGGAGAATGAAGAGATTGTCCAATGGAAGGAGATTTTAGAATTCTGACTACTTAATATTTTTTTATTTTTGGTTTGTTCTTAGTTTCTTCCATTTTCCTAGTGTTCTCTATGAGTTGTGTAAGTTATTGTCACTACCCTGAGCACTCCAGCCAGCATTTCTCTCAGTAGCACTGGCTCTGATGTCCAGTCCTGTGCATCTTGCATATGTAGACTCCACGCACCCCCCTGGCTGGAGCTAACCCTCCCTCCTACTGCCAGCCAAGGAAAAGGGTGAAGACAATAGCCTTAGGGCTATCAGGCTTGTTTAAACTAAGCCATCATTATCTGGCAGAAAGGAGAGGGAGCATAAATCAAAGTCAAAGCTGTGACTGACTGTGCAAGAAAATCATATGACTGCAGTGTCCTCATGTGATTGTTGCTTTTTTGTGTTATTATTCAATCAGCTATATTCCCAGTTGAAATGTCAGGTTTCGAAGCCATTCATGATTATTTTTAAAACCATGTGGGACATTAACTTTAATTGCACTCATTTGTTTCCAGGTTGTTGATCCTGGAAATGAAAAGTGACCTTCAAACACTGTGGTTCAGCACTGGGGGCCTGATCTGAAGTCTGCTGGGGAGAAAGGAAGTTTGAACGCTCATTCCCAAGAGGGTTTTGAGGACCTCCAGAGGAAAACTGCTGACAACAAATGCCTGTTAATTAAAACCAAAAATTTATCAGCCTAAAAACAATAAAGTTGGTTAGGATGGAGTCTTCTGCCATGTTATTTGATACATGAAATTGTTACATAAATATTGAGTGACAGTCTCAATGAGGACCAGCTGGTGGAAATTATTAAACATGTTGTAAATAGACTTCAGAGGCACTGAGGATCAGGCCTGTGGTTAGAGGAATCCAAACCCACCAGGGCTGGGGTAATAACTAAAATGTGGCTTTACTGTGATGCTCTGGTCCTTCACGTTCTCCCTCCTCAGCCCTTGGGCCTTAAACTGCACATTCCTGCAGGGCTGACATAGGAAATATTTGGATCTGCTTGTGCTGTGGCTGCAGCTGGCAGCGTTAGCAAGGAAAGAGGAGAGAAGACAGCCATATAAGAAGGGAAGAAAGAGCTAGGAGGAACAGAGATGTAAAAAGGAGTAAAAATAAGAATAAAAAGCCAAGGAAAAGTATGGTAAGTGAAAACTGAAGGGACCACCTGAAAACTGAGCCAACTTCCCCTAGTGTCCCAGCAGTAGCTGACTGTGCCTGAAAAGGAGTCTATCTGAAACACTGAAGGGTTGTTTGAAACCAGTGGATCATCAGATCTTAAATTAACTTCATAGGCTTTACATTTTAGAATTCTTGGTCTCTGAGAAACAGCTTTGCAGTTAAAAGACTTGAATTGAATTGTGCTGGTGTAAGGGAGAAAAGGTTTAAAATATATCCTAAATGTTCTCCTAGCAAAGAAACACACATTCAGGGAGAATTAGGGCTTAATCTGGCAAAGAAGTGCGTGGGCAGGAAGTGTTTGGTACTTCACAGCTTTAGCACCTTGGTTATTAAATCTCATTGAGGAGATACACATCTCTACTACCTGAAGGCCTGTCAGATGACAGGGTGTGAACACATCATGTGTACCTGCATGTCTAGACTGACAGAGCTGGCATGCTCTCACTGCTATCACACCATCATCAGTGCAACATGAATACAGGAATTGTTAATCACCGCTCACAGGAACTTAGGGAAAAAAAAAAAAGAAAAAAAAAGAAGGGATTTGGCTTTTGGCCAAGACAGCAAAGGAAAATGAGACGATCTTGTTTTGGCAACCAGGTACTTTTAGGTAAGTGCTATCTGCCATTACCAGTGATCTCTTGAGGGAACTCTGCCTAAGGCTGGACAAATTCCCTTTCTGGGAAGAAAACTTCTATGTCTCACTTCATATGGGACAGTGGGCATCATCTGACTGGACCAAATGTGTAAACAAAACTGCCTTGGTGGTCTGCAGTTCTTGTTGTACCGGGAAGAAAAACAGCTCCTGATCAGTTTGTGGTATCATCCAGCTCAGTTTATCACTGAAAAAGAAACTAACTCTTGCAATTGATCAAACAGGATTTTATCAATTCCATTGTCTTCATTTTTTGCTTTTGTGGTAGCTAAAGGTGGTAAACTCTCTCATGAGGCCCTACATGGAATACTGTGTGCAGTTCAGGTGCCCTCAACATAAGGACATGGAACTGTTGGAGCAAGTCCAGAGGAGGCCACAAAGTTGATAAGAGGACTGGAGTATCTCCCGTATGAGGACAAGCTGAGGAAGTTGAGGCTGTTCAGCCTGGAGAAGAGAAGGTTGTGTGGAGACCTCATAGCAACCTTCCAGTATCTTAATGGGGTAGAAGGCAGCCAGAGAGGGACTCTTTGTTAGGAACTGCAGTGATAGCACGAGGGGCATCAGATTCAAATTGAGGGAGGGGAAATTTAGGCTAGATATTAGGAAAAGTTTTTTACTGTGAGGGTGGAGAGACACTGGAACAGGTTGCTCAGGGAGGTAGTAGAAACCCCAACCCTGGCAGTGTTCAAAGCCAGGCTGGATGAGGCCTTGAACAACCTGGTCTAGTGGGGAGGGGGCTTGGGACTACATGATCTGTAAGGTCCATTCCAACCCCTAAATTCTATGATTGTATGATCTTTTACAGGTCCTTTCCAACATAAAAAATTCTATGATTCTATCACCAACCCCAGCACAGCAATCTGGAGAAATTTATGACTGCAAGGAAACACCTTCGCATAAAAAAAAGGTAAAATGCATAGCTTTAGAATCATAGAATCACAGAATCATAGAATTTTAGGGGTTGGAATGGACATAACAGATCACCTAGCCCCAATCCCCTGCCATGAGCAGGGACACCTCCCCACTAGACCAGATTGCTCAAGGCTTCATCCAGCCTGGCCTTGAACACTGCAAGGGTTGGGGCAGCTACCACATCCCTAGGCAGCATGAGTCATTGAGTCCAACCGTTAACCCAGCACTGCATGCTCACCACCAAACCATGTCCCTAAGCGCCACATCTACACGTCTTTTAAATACCTTCAGGAATGGTGACTCCACCACTTCCCTGAGCAGCCTGTCCCAATGCTTGACAACCCTTTTGGTGAAGAAATTTTTCCTAATATCCAATCTAAAATTGTTTCCAATGTAAATATGTTTTCCAAACTCAGCATTTGACCACAGTGTAGGAACACAGCATGACCACAGCATGAGGGGCAGCTGAGGCAGCTGGGGTTCTTCAGCCTGGAGAAAAGCAGACTCAGGGGAGACCTTATTGCTGCCTACAATTACCTGAAAGAAGGCTGGGTTAGTCTCTTCTCCCAAGTAACAGATGTCAGGACAAGAGGAAACAGCTTTGAGTTGCACCAGGGTAGGTTTAGATATTTTGTGATACAAGTAATTTTTGTCCTGCTTTCCTCTAGAGAGAAGGCTTGAACGAGCATGCCAGCTTTCCACTTTTTTAGAGGTATCTCTCATTGGTCCCTCCCTACAAACACTAAACTCACTGTTTAGTCATAGCCATGTGTGTGACAGTGCCCCAGAATGCCTCATGAAAGCAGCTTGTGGAGAAGATAGGGGAACCCAAGAAACCATCTGCAGCACTTTGACATCAGCAAATCCTCACGAGGGTTCAGCCTCCAGATACAGACCCACAGAGCACCCCTATCCACTCATCCCCCACAGGTGGACTTGGCTTCCCTGCCCATGGGAGTGCTGATTCATGCAGATGACCAGCAGTTAAGACAAAGCACAATAAGAGATACTGACCCCCAGATGTTTTATTAAAGGTGTGCAAACAAAGCACGTTTATTTAATATCTCTAGG